TCAAAGAAAGCTGTTGACCCCAGATGACCTCAATTCATCCAGCTACATCCTGATTCAGTCAGGACTTCACTTATTTATGCCTGAACTCTCTCAGAGTACAGAGACTACAACTAGCTTTCCTAAGGCTTACCATTCTCCCAATCTCCTTGGCCTCCAAGAAAGAAATACTATGCCCCAAGTAAACATGAAGGCATTTTAATAAACTCCCACTCCGTTAAGCTGGGATAGGTAAGGTTTGGTTGTTCTGTTGAGTGGATGATGCTTATTATAAAAGGGTTGGTTACAACTAATTAAATGGTCTTGACCAGTGAGAAAATAACTCGGGTACTTCTCTCTAACCTTTTTTTCTTATGTAGGGCGAAAAGGGCTGAAAAGAGAAAAGGGTGACATATAGGACTATTACAGAAATAGTATGAAAGACAGATTGCTGAATCTACTATTAAACCAAAAAACAGCTTATAGTCATGATATTACATTAATATGGATCTTTGAATATTGATACAAAATTAAGGTTATACTTTGTTACATTTGTGTATTTTATTACATTGGTATAAGACTTTGTATACTAATACCAAGTTTGAGATTATAACATACTATATATTAAGTTTCAGCTCTTATATAGTCATTTGAAGATGTAAAATTCTAGTCCTTTTAAAAGCTATTACAAACTGTTCAGGATAAATAAGTAACACAAGTCTATCACAATATATGCTTCCTGGGTTAAACAGGGTTAAAAAAAAAAAGTTTACCTACTCAGATATAGTATCGATAGATTGTCTTCAGATACCTCAGAAACTTAACAGAATATGACATTTAAAGATGTTTTTATTAAATTAAGGCCTTTTTTGATGAGACATGAAAGCTCCTGACAGCACCCCATTCAACTTGGAAGAAGAGCATCAAAGACCTCCTTTTAGAGATAGCTTCAATTATGGCAAGCTAGCCACTGGGCAAAGAAAATGCCCTAACTTCATCTACAGACAGAATGCTATCCCACATGGACAAAACTTGGATGCAGGCAAAGCCTACTGCCGAAGCTCTGCCAAGACAGGGTAAGCAAGTCCTTCCTAATTCATGCTTCACAAGTTTATCAGATATCCTGGGTCAAAATGGTGAAGACAGATGTTCCAATGTTATAAAGACATCTTTGGAGCACTGTTCAGACAGCCAACTATGTCATTTGTATAATTTTGGAAGCAAATTGTCTGTGCTTCCTAGATATTCAGGTACTATTTATTTCTTCTCAAGTCTTTGGTGAGGTTGAAGATAGCATAGTCTCACAGTTAAACTTAAGGTACAAAGAATCTAAGAAAATGTTTTGGGGTCTTAAGAGATGTTTTAAGGATGGTAAATCCAAGTTATGAAGGTTGGAGGAGGTGAAAGTTTAAGTTGTTGGTATTTTAAGGTTGGTAATGAAGGTTAGAGGATCTAGAAGTCTTCTTTAATGAAGACAGGAGAATTTTAAACAGGTGTCTTAAAATTAGCAAGTGCAAATTAAAGGATTTCTTAAGATAGTGATGAGAAAAGTACAGAACTGTGAACTCACCAAGATAGGACAATTGGACATTGTGAATGTAATTACAACAGAGATTTCGAAATGGTTTAATAATTGCCTTTACTGTATGCTACAGCCAATTGTTATAGGGAATCAGGTGGGTTTTCAGTTACCAGGTAGGGGGAGGGGGGGTGACAGGTAGAGACCACAAAGAGAAGGTGAAAGGAGAGAAGTATGGACCAGCAGCAAGTACCAGAGTAAAATGCCTCCCTAGTACACCAGATTGCTGGAGCAGAAATAGCCCAAGAAGATTCAAACAGCAAGTATTTGGGAGTATAGGTGGAGAAACAGCCAGTCTAGTGCTAGAGAATTAGTTAGGGTAATCCCCCAGTAATTGAGCAGAGCCTAATAAATAATAGTTTGAGTCTCATTTGATAGAAAGGGATAAGCCTAATTCTTTTATTTTACATTGATCTTCAGAGAACATTATTATTGTGGTGGGGACTTGAGCATCTTAGACATGAAAAAGTCAGAACGTAACTTCTGGGTGTTTTTTCTCCTTCTATGTGTGTTGTAGGGACTGAACTCAAGGCTGTCAGCCTTAGCCTGCAATCGCTTTCACTTGCTGGGTCATCTTGTCAGCACTAGGAGCAACTTAAAAAAAAATTAAAATATCATACATTTGGAATCACATTCACATTTTAAAAGATTTTATTGTTCTCAACGGTGTATATGTGCCTGTTAGGGCAGTATTAGTAGACACCAGTTCCAGATGGTAGCCCATGACATGGGTTGGGAACCTAACCCTAGTACTCAGCATGAGCTGTGTTCTTAACCTAAGTCCTCCCTCTAGGCCCCATATTCACATTCTTAAGGTATCAATATTTCCTTACTTTTATAGAAATAGAAACCTTAAATTAAAAAAAAAAAAAAAAGCCAAGGAGTAGCAGCACATAAACATTTCCACTAAACGTATGAAAAAAACACCTTCAAAGGCTCACTGTTCGGCAGCAAGCCCTGCGGCTTACAGGTTACTTTTGCCTGCTCTGATTCACACGGAGACAACTGTCCAGCGTCCTCTTTTGGGTCTTCCTCCTTCAGTTGAGTACATTACATCACTCACTGCTATACACATTAGCAATCATTTCCTTGATGTATCACAGTTTATCTGACTTCTAGTTGATGGATCTTTCAAATATTTGTAGTCTGGGGTTACTATAAACACAACTGCTATAAGCATTCAAACACAAACCTGTGGAGCCTCCATGTTGTTTCCCTGGGTAGCAAGAAGACTGAACTGTGTTATGAACACGCCGAATTTATATGGTGCAGCTGTGCCATATTCAGTCCTGTTAGGGGTTGCAGTTGTTCATCATCTATACTACCACTTGCTATTGGTACACTGCCCCTCTGTGGGCCATTTCAGTAGGTACGTAGTGGTGTCATATGACCGATGGTCTTAAGGTACTTTGTGTATGTGTATCCATTGGCGTATCTATTTGTGTGATTCTGATAATGTTCAGAGATCAAATCTTAAGAAGTATTAAAACACCTATCCATAGGTCAGGCTAGAACATTTTACTTATACATGTTCATGTGTGTACAAGTGCACTAAATGAAGGCCAGAGGTCAGGGGGCCAGCCCATTTTGTTTTCTAGAAGCAGTGTCAGTCACTGGCCTGAGGTTAGTTAGTTGGTTGGTCAGTCTGGTTAGTAAGTGAGCTCCAGAGTCATGATCATAAGTCCATACCTTGCTGTCTGGCACTCTGGGATCCAACTCAGGCTTATATTGTATGAGCCATCTTCCCAGCCCAGGACAGAACATTCTAAAGTGGTAAGTTAGTTGAAAAATCCAAGAGTTCCTCTCAACTTTTAAATTTTCAAGACACACAAGTTAAAAGTTGAAAATAAACATACATAAAGCTCTTCTAATACTTAACATTTTACGCACTATTTTAATGTGATCATTTGAAAATACGTACCAGATGTCATGTCTCACGTGAGTACTAAAAATGTTTTTTTATGTAGGGCAAGTTTATCATTATACAAATTAACAATTTCTTTCCGATCTATATAATCTCTCAATTTCTCTACTTTTCCCTCCTTACTTTTTTCTTCCAAAGGGCAGGGTCTTTCTATTTTAGCCTAGGTTGGCCTCAGAATCATGGAAATTCTCCTGGCTTCCATGTGTCTAGATTATAGGCATGAAACACTATGCCCAGCTAGTCAAAAATCTCTTTCAGATATAATTAGACTACAAATACAATTATTGGTTTAACCTAAATCTTTGACTTTTTGAAGAAAATCAGCCGGTTGTTTTGTAAAGTGACAAATTCTGAACTTACCTTATTTTCTATAAACTGGAATTTGGACTTAAGATTCACTACAGGTCTATTTTTTAAGATGGGTCTTTTATGTGATTTCAAAACCCACATGTTTGCAAGTATGCCTTGTGTAAGGCTTAAAACCTGTCTGAGCTGGTGTTGAACTTCAAATCCACCTCAGCTTCCCAACTACCCTCAATTATGGGACTAGAGCACTCACCATGCGGCACTCAGCAGCAAATACTTTTGACAAAATAATTTTTACAATGCTAGGAACTAAACCTGGGACATCATACAGGAGAGAAAAGTGCTTCAATCCAGCCCTCAAGCCATTTATATAGCACTTTCTTTGGGGGAAAATTCAGGAACCTAAAAAATAAAACTCACACCCCATTTTGCTAACTATAATTTTTTTATGTAGTCTCAGTTCCAAGGAAAAAGTAAAAAGGACTTAACAATGGTGTTTTGGAAATAAGGTAACACCACATACATTGATTCCTTCATTTATTTGTCCCAAGCATTCCTGACACTCTCTTCTATTAATGTGTTCACTTGGTAAACTGGAAACCTGACTGCCCCTACCTGACCTTTAACTTTCTCAAAGCACTAATAAGTGCTTCAGCATTGAGCATGCTTTTGCTCCTTTCTGCTGGGAAAAAAAAAAAAAAAAAAAAAAAAAAGGTTTAAACTACACCTGCTGGTCTGTGCCTATGTTCCCAACATTTAGGAGGCCGAGACAGGAAGTTTGCAATTCAAGGCCAGGCAAGAATATATACGCAAGATTTCATCTCTAAAACTCAGAAAATCTAGTATCACACAAATGGGCATTAGTTTTCTGTTCTTTCACATTCACAAATTACTATCATCAAACTTTGGAATCTGCTTCCCCTACTCTTGAAATAGTATTTAAACTAGATTTCACTGTACATATCTATAATCCTGGACAGTGAGGCAAAGGCTCAAGGTTCACGAGTTCAAAGTTATACCCAGTTACACAGTGAATTCCAGGTCACCTTGCACTACATGAGATCTTACCCTCCAAAAAGTGATTTTAATATATAATAACTTCACTAGTTAATATATTATTTCCCCTATATTCTAGAAGAACAAAAGGTGTTTGGTAACTACTAGGTAGGTAGTAGTAGGTAATCAGATCTTTAATGCAGAAACTGCTAGTTTCAATATGTTGGTTACATATTGTTTTTATTCAGGCTTGGCAATTATGAAATACAAACCAAGCAACTCTTAGTTGCTTCTACACGTCCAATCTTTCCTTACAGAAGCTGTTAAATACAGCTTTAAAGTAGTATAGTATAGTCAGCAAAAGATTTGGGTGGAACAACAGTTCACCTGGAATCCACAGTTAAATATTTACTTCCTTTGGTGCCTTGTATAGAAGGCACTGTTAAGGATGTTACAATATAGAGGAAAATACCCACAGCAAATAGTTCTAGTGACAACTTACTAAACAAGTTACAGTGGTGGTGGTGATTCTTTGCATTTTATTTTTTTACAGTAAGTAAGAGTATAGTCTTTAAACTCCACACACACACACACACACACATACACAGACAAAACAGGTGTTACTATGAAACAGTCCCTGCCCCCATACCCCCTCAATATACTGAACACAGCAGTTTAACAAAAAAAGAAAAAAAATCAAGACAAGTCTGATTTCAAAATTTCAATATAAAAGCAAAAGTATGTAATGCAACAGCTGTTCAACTTCCAGCTCTAATAATAGGCCCCAAACAAAACAGCCCCATATTTAATTTCTCCAGCACACAATCTACTAGAAATGCTCAACTGTAATCAACTAATAACCAATGTGAACAGAACCTTAGAAAAGAAGTTATATTGCTTCCCTTCACCCTTTTCTCTTATAGTTGGAGGCGAAGGTATTAGGAGATACAAAAGTCAAAGGAAGAAGAATTATAAAGAAAAAAATTCCTAAAGCTGCTGCTGTTTGGAATAAAAAGGAAGACAGTATTTTACAAATGTTCAAAAACTGCAAGGCATTAACACAATTCATTCACTATCACGCCTAACTTGAAAGAATTAGAGAACAGTATCTCATCATATAAACTGTTATGTTCAGGTTCACAAAAAACTATGGATGTGGTTTTATGCTTTATCAAGGAAAACAGGTTCAGTTCAGATCATTAGATACTATACATCTAGCCTAACTGGACTGTGTCTAGAACTGTTCGCTGTCACCCTGAACTAAACAATAGCCATGTAACTCCATAGGAAACTTAAGGGTTGAAGATATGTACACAGCTAGTTAGATCTCCCCTGCTTCGCGCTCTTCAGAGCTCCTCCTGTCTTCTGATCTGCCATTAGCACTCTCATAGGACCGCTTCTTATCTTTTCGATCTCGGTCACGAGGTGATCTGTCTCTTGAACTCCTGTCTCTGTCACGTGATGCTAAGTCTTGGTCTCTGAATCTTTCTTTTGAGGATCTGAAAAATATTAATTTGAGGAGCAAAATATGTTGGGACACCCAAAATCCAATGAAAGAATAGGATCAATATTAAGTTTCTGATAGCTGAAGAAATAGACAAGACTACATCTGAGAAGAGAGTTTCTTATAGAAGAAGAGTCCTACTATAGCAGATACGGGCACCAAAATACAATTGGGGACAACAAATAGCCAAATAGCTAAAGGCAAAAGAGCCTAAACTAAACAATATATTCTTAGCATTTCAGAGATAATCATAAAGTTTCTTCAATTAATAAAAAGGCATTAAGTATAAACAATATATAATTAATTGCTTTTATAAGTGAAAAGTATCAAGATTCCAAATTGGATGGAAACCAATGAATTTGTACAGCAGTCATCTCTTTTGTGCTAAATGACAAACAATATGGATTTGAGGTGTCATAGATCACATACAAGCTCAGGGTGTAGGAGTCATTCTTTTCTATCAGCTTTAAAAATGAAAAAAGTGCAGAACCAACCATAGCTTTCTGGTTTTACAGAAACCAGTTTCAGACACATCTGTCCTACAGGCAGTACGCTGCAAACTGGGTAAGAGGACTACTCAATAATGTGGCTTTAAATAACCATTTAAAAATCTGTTTCACTCTTTGAGTGAATTCATTAAAACCAAAAAATGATCATTCTATAATAAAATCCTAACTGGTCCTAATACTACTATTTCCATTCTCACCCCATCGTCAAAGAAAGGTATATAAACAAAACACCCTCATATCAGAAATGCAGCCAGAAGAAACAAAAACACAAACACATTATGTAGAATCTAACTATATTGGTTAGCATAGAATATATACTTTTCAACACCTAAAATGAATTAACAACAAATATTACATTTATTTAGTTCTTTACAGGTGATACAGAATGTTTACACATAATTTATCTCAATCAAAGTTTAGAATTATGATGAGAGGCACTGCCAAGTCCTGCATAATACTTTTCTTTTTAAAGTTAGAGTTTAAACTTGGATCTCAATATGCTATGTTTGCATGCTACAAACCCAGAAAATGCAATACTTTCAGAAAAACATAAGGCAAGATAAAAAATACTACTATAACCAGTTTGAAAAATATAGATAAGGAGAGTATTGTAGTTTGGGTATAAAACAGTCCAAAAGGCTCATGTACTGTTGTTGAAGACTTGAAACTGGTGATGATGCTACAGAAAACAGTGGGTGGCTAGCTCATAAAGATGGAACAACTGATGAATTAAACCACTGCAAGTTCATAGCTAAACAGCCATTAGGTGGTGGTTTCTGGCAGGAGGAAACAGATCAAGAGGGGTGCATTTTATTATAACTTGTACCTGGTCCCTTGCCCTCTATTTCCTCTGCCATAGGATAAGTCACTTGACTCTCTTACAGGCTCCATGCCATGGTGTTCTGGTTAAGAATGGGCCTAAAAACAATTCAAAAGTGGCCATGAACTGAAATCTCATTTTCACTTCATAATAGTGTGACCTACAAAAAGTCCTTTCTTCTCATAAATTGGTTTCAAGTACTCTGTCATAATACAAAACTATGGCAACAGAGATTAAAATTTAAAAAGCTTGAAAAACAAACACCAATTTCGAGCATTCTACTTGAAGTTATATAAGCCTTTTTCCCCTTTTGTTTTCTGAATCAAGGTGTCTCTCCCTAACCCAGGCTGGCCTCAATTTGTGGCAAGTCTCCTGCGCCTCAGCCCCTCAAAAGTTATCATTTCAGGAGCTCCTGTTTAATAAGCGTTTTACAAGACAAAAAAAACACATTCCAAGTCTATACGAGCCATTTTCAAAGCTTCTATTAATGATGAAAATGATCAATGAGAACAATGACATTAGGTGCTGGCAAGTCCCTGAGGTCAGTGATAACTGAAAAAGAACAAAGACATGGACTAATGTTTGTACAAGATTATGAATATCCTCCTACATGCCGTTTGTTATATGTTACTAGTGAAAGCCTAAGAAGCCAAATATTCCTATTACCTCTAATTAATGAAATATGGAAAAAACAAATGGGATGTAATTAAATTATTTGGCAAAGAATTCTGAACCCAAGTAGTCTGACTTTGAAGTCTGTACTACATGACAGAATACCCCAAAAAGCACAAAGTTGCTGAGGTCCTCACTGACCTGTGGAACTGTTGCCAAGACAAGGTTCATATAAACAACCCACTTGTAGTAGCAGAGATAAATACTTCACAGCAAGGGTAAGAAAACAGCAAAATGTCAAGACTTTTAATGTATTCTTTTTACCATCAAAAACTAAACTCACATATATACCAATAATTTGATGTTATATATTTGAAATAACAAGTAGCAATCATTTACTTTTTTGTTAAAAACAATGATGTTTTAAAAGCAATTTGAATTCAAGGATATGAAATACTCTTGAGAAAAGCAAAATTTTTAATAGTTTTACAAAAATAATCCTCTTTTGAACATGCTGAATATGGTGGGACGTTTTCCTGTATAATAAACTTCACAAGTTCAGGAAGCCTCAGGATGACACAAGGATAGGACAAGACTCCCAATCCATCCCTCCCATCTCCATCACCAACAAAGACAAGTGAGATAAACATCAGAAGAATGACAGCTGGGCAGGTCAACACGGGAATCATATAGACCCTTTATCACCTAAACTGCCTGATTCTAAGATTTAGTGTGCAGATCTAGAATCATAAACAACGTTACAAAAAAAAAAATGTTTGTTTCTGGCCACTGCACTGAGGACAAACTCAGTTTTGAAATGTAAGAAGCCTACAGATATTTTCCTACTTGTTTAATTACAACCAGTTATTCAAGCCTGATCCATCATCTAAAACCATTTTTAAAAAATGTTTGAAAATTTTCCTTACCTAAATTTATGCCATTTACTCATTTACCCTACGATATTCAGTTTATCACTTTATGATCTGTGGCCAAGTATAGTCCCACACAGATAACTCCACAGAGCAACATGAAAATGGTTGTTTATATACACTATTATTACCTTGCTATTTTTAACAAGCCTAGCATAGAGGAAAGTATCTAATTTGTAAAGCCAGGCAGGGTGTCATATGCCTATAATCCCAGCACTCGAGGAAGCTGAGGCTAAAGGATGAATATGAAGCCAATCTGAGCTACAAAAGAGCTTGGCCTCCTGACCTCCCCCTGCAATCCCTCCCCTCAACACACACACACACACACACGCACACACACACACACACACGCATGCACGCACGCACGCACGCACTCACTCACACACATACACACACCTACCTAGTTAAAATCAATTTAAGGGCTACTTAGAACATAGACAGAAATATACAAAATAAAATGTTGATTGAAAGCCTATTAAGAAACTCAGCTTGTGATTTCAGGGAATGGGTAATTCAGTTTAAAACAAAGATTTTGCTGGCTTTCTGTGGGTTTAATTTATGCGAAGTAAGCCACAGAAAATTTAAGACTATTAACTAGGAACTCCAAGTTTTTCTCCTATATTTATCTAAGAATAGTTGTCAAGTAATTTTATGTATAATTTATGTTCCATAGGATTAGCATGTGACCTGAGTTTTGGGGACTTAACAGCTCTACTACATATTAACCCTTTGTTAGCTCTCACTAGATAATCAGGTCCAATGCAGCTCTCGTTGCATCTTTTGAAGTTTCCTGCTATACTAAGGTGTTGTAGCTTCCTCCAAACTCAGAATCTTCCCATTGCACTAAAGGTGAACATGAAAATGTATGATTTATATTGTAGATTAAACAACATAGTAGAATCTGTTTGCTCTTTAGAAGTGCACCAAAGTGTGGAAAACAGGCAAATAAAGCTAAAACAATGCTTTTAATGAAAGGACTTCTCAGAGTCCCTATTTGTTAATACATGTTGAAAAACAAATAAACAAAAACCCCCACAACCCTCAAGAGTCTTAGTACCTAAAATTATTTGCCTATAAAATAGTTTTTGTTTTTATCAGCACCCCTCCCACCTCCCCAACATTCCAAGTAAAGAAAAGCAATAACCTTTGCACATACTGGCTTCAATTTCTTACTCTGGCTCATGCACTAACTCTGCATGAACTACCCATACAATCAGAAAAAAATGTATACACCTACAATTGAGTACATATCAATATATCAGGTGCAAGTTTCAAACCAATAATCTAAGCATAAGTAACACAATAAACAAAAGGCTAAAACATAAAGGGAGCTCCGCATCCTCTGACCGGCACTTCAGTACCTCCTCTTGGATCGCTCTCTGCTCCTATCTCTTGAACTGTGCCGACTTCTCTGGTGGCTGCGGCTTCGGCTGCGGCTGCTGGACCGGGACCTGTGGCGATGGCGTTTCTCACGAGACTTGGATCGAGTCCTCCTCTTGCGTTCCCGTGACATGGAGCGAGATCGGTGTCTACGATGCTCTCTGGATCTAGATCTACAAGAAAATAATTTATTTCCTTGTTAGCACTACAAATCTCATTTACACTAACCTTTTCTTAAAAAAACAAGTTTTTAAAAATTTTTTCCCTTTAAAATGTCTTTGTGCATGCACATCACAGAACATAAGCGTAGGTCGGAGGACAAACTTTTGGGAGTCTCCTTCTACAATGTGGTTCCCAGGAATTAAACTCAGGTTATCAGGGCTCAGTGGCAGATACTTTTAACCAGCTGAGCCATCTTGTCAGTACTGAGAAGTTATTCTTCAGTAGGTGCACTTGATGGTAATTCTATTCTAAATAAACTGTATGTGCAATGGAAATAAACTGCCAATAAGTTATTCGCTAGATACTAAGATATCAAAATAAGAAACAAGAATGCCAATTCTCAGAAGTCAATTATACATTTATAATGTATAAATTTATGTTGGTAAACTAGGGATGTAGGTCAGTAGTACAGAACTTGCTTATCATCCAAGGGACTAATAGGATCCAAACACACTAGTAGGGAAAAAGGAAAAAAGATACTCAGTGATTAAAAGGGCATGTTGCACAACCTTGAGTATTAGAGTACTACAGCACAGACCTGTAAAGGCCAGCTCTGAAGGCAGGACAGACAAGTGTTAAGTTTACAACATAGCCAAGGAAACACAAATCCCAGACAGGGGCCATAAAAGACAATACCAAAGCCTTCATAAAACACACACACACACACACACACACACAAATAGAAATAGAAAAGGATTAGGGCAAAATTGTGAAAAATTGAGTGAGGCCAGCCAGGACTACATATACATACTGAGAGCCTTTTATTTATTTCATGTACACTGTCACTCTCTTTAGACATAAAAGAAAAGGGCATCAGATCCCATTACAGATGGTTGTGAGACACCATGTGGTTGCTGGGAATTGAACTGAGGACCTCTGGAAGAGAAGTCAGTGCTCTTAACCACTGAGCCATCTCTCCAGCCCCCTTTTAAAAGTTTTATCAGGAATATGAAAGAAAAATTAAGGCAACAATCAGTATTACAATTTTGTAATTTCTGAATTTTTCTACTTTTTTTTAAAAGTATACTTAAACGTTAGGGGGCTGGAGAAAGCTCAGCAAGTTAAAGAGTGCTTGCTACTCTTCTACAACACAAGTTCAGTTTCCAACATGTACCTGATAATATAAACAGGATATAATTCCATCCATAATTCCAGTTCCAGGGAACCTAAACACTGCCCTGGCTTCTAAGGGCTTTCCCGCTCCAGCCCCTAAATACACATGGCATGTACTCACAAATAAAAATACATCATATTAAGAGAAAGAATGATAAAGAATTTTTTAAGGATAAATCACCCTTTCTCTAAATTATATTTTGATCACTCAAGTTCTGAATGCCAATGGTAAGCCAAAAATTACAGTGTAAGCAAACAAAAAACATATAAACAACAAAAAAAAATCAGGTGAGCATTTTACAAAAACATGAGTGTGTGTGTGTGTGTGTGTGTGTGTGTGTGATGAAGATGGAGATAGCATGAATAGAACAGAAATATGTGAGGGAAAACAAGAAGATAAGAAGTTTACTGTTTGGCTTAAAGTCACTTTAAAAGTGACAGAAGTGAAGATGTGGGTTATGTGTGCTTGTGAATCCAGAATTTAGGAGATGATGGAAGAAAGATAACTCATGGACAGCCTGGGATACTATAGCTATAACATGGCAAAAAGGAAAAAAAAGGAAAAATACACAGAAACTGCTTTAAGTTGAATTGTGTTGATAAGTAGTTCCAAATTTAAAATGGATAAATCTTAGGGTATATAAATTATACCTCAATAATATAAAACATTTCAAGTTACTATTAAAATGTAGTATTTTCTAACTTCAAAAACAATTAAGTGATACAATTTGTTTGTAAATATTTTATAATTTTCTTCTTTAAAAATTTTTTTTTAAATTGTGAATTTAAATTTTTAAATTCAAGGCTGGCTTTGAACTCACAGAGATCTGCCAGCCTCTCAAGTCCTGAGATTGAAGGCATGAGCACCACACCTGGCTACAGAAGAACTTCCATAAAAAATATTTTGAGATTTCCTTTGTATATATATGAGTGATTTGCTTGAATGTATGCCTGTGAGCTACGTCCATGCCCGGTATTACCAAGGTCAAAGAGAGCACTGGATCCCCAAGAGCTGGAATTATGGACTGCTATGAGCTGCCATGTGACTGCTGAGAATGGAACTTGGGTCCTCTGCAACCAGTGCTCTTAACCACCGAGCCATCACTCTAGATCCTATAGAAGGATTTTGAAAGCACTTAGCTCCAGTCTATGCTTTAGTCAAATAAATGTACATATTGTATACTTCACGTTTAATCACAATTGAATAGTTTCTTCAACTAAACAGAATTTCTCATGTAGTCAAAGGCAGCCCCAAACTTGCTCTGTGTAGTTGTGGATGACCTTGACTTCCTGCAACTCTTCCTTCTGCTCCATCAGCACTGGAATCACAGGCAAATACTGGGGCTATAGGAACGTGCTTGCTGTGACACCTGGTTCTAAAGAATATATTTCTAAAAACAGACAGAGGAAAGCTGTCTGTCCATTCATCCATGACAGTGTAACAGAAAGATTGTTCTATTTACCTACCTATTACAAGAAAGATCTATCTAGGGCTGGAGAGATGGCTCAGTGGTTAAGAGCACTGAGTGCTCTTCCAGAGGTTCTAAGTTCAATTCCCGACAACCACATGGTGTCTCACAACCATCTGTAATGTGATTCTAGTATGTGTCTGAAGACACCTACAGTGTACTCATATAAATAAAATCAATCTATCTATCTATCTATCTATCTATCTATCTATCTATCTATCTACATACCTACCTATCTTATCTATCACAAGAGAAAAAACACCAGCAAAGATAGTACAGGCCTTAAATTCTGGCATTTGAGAGGCACAGGTAGGCAGATGGCTATGAGTCGGTGATCAGCCTGGCCTACACGGCGAGACCAGGCCAGACAGGAATACACACTGATACTCTATCTCAAGAGTAAAATAGGAGATAGAGAAGTGGCTGCTCGCCGGGCGGTGGTGGCGCACACCTTTAATCCCAGCACTTGGGAGGCAGAGGCAGGCGGATTTCTGAGTTTGGGGCCAGCCTCGTCAACAGAGTGAGTTCCAGGACAGCCCGGGCTATACAGAGAAACCCTGTCTCAAAAAAAAAGAAAAAAGAAAAGAGAAGTGACTGCTTTAAAAAAAGCCAGGTTGAATTTCTAGTACCTACATGATGGCTAAAATCATCTACAACTACAGTTCCAAGAAATCTGGGCATAAGGCACAGATGCTGTACAGATATATACATGTAGGCAAAACACCCATACACTGATAAAGTAATCCAAAGGGAGAATTACGATAATTAAATCCACTCAAAAGAAGTTTCACCAATAGTGTTTTGTTTAACCACTCGAGCTAGTTAACCTATTTCTTTCTTTTTTTTTTTTTTGGTTTTTTGAGACAGGGTTTCTCTGTGTAGCCCTGGCTGTCCTGGAACTCACTCGGTAGACCAGGCTGGCCTCGAACTCAGAAATCCGCCTGCCTCTGCCTCCCAAGTGCTGGGATTAAAGGCGTGCGCCACCACCGCCCGGCGTTAACCTATTTCTAATACAGAATCTAATGCAACTTTTAAAAATGTCAAGATAATTATATGTAAAATATTTACTGGGTACCTAACCCCCAGCACATTTTATTTATAAGAGAAAAAAGAATAGTAAAGTAAAATCAAGTTCCTGCATTGTTGGACTATATAGTTTGGAAAAAAGTTTCTAGAGATCTACCTCTAATAAAGAGAGTAAATGGAAAAATGGGTAGTAATAGTTTACATAGAACAGGAAGAAAAGGATTTTCTGACAGGATGTCACTGAAAAAGAGAAGAAGCAAATAAAGGTATAAAGTGGTGGAATAGGAGCAAGTTCAACATGGTGAAGGAATAGAAGAAATCTATTTAGCTACAATGAAGTGAGTAAACAGAAACAATATTGAAGATTGACAGCATGAAGACTGAATATTTTATCATTCAAACCAGGAAGCTCTAAACAGTGTATTATATAAAGTGAATAAAAGTATCATTGTGTGACAACAAAATTATCTCATGGCACACTGGACCACACTATCACTCTACTAACAGCTATGGTACCAGATGTGGTCATACACAGCTGTAATCTCAGCATTAAGGAATATAGAGGAAGGAGGATAATGAACTCAAACAAGACCCTACCTGGAAAAATACTTAACTAGGTATGCAGACACATGCCTGTAATCTTTCCTAACAAGACCAGAGGAAAGACACACAAGTTCCAGAAGACAAACTGGAGTCAAACAGGGATACAAAGTTGGCTCAACATGGCTCAAAAAGAAAACCAAACAAATCCCATACAACGACAGGAAAAACCCAAGTAGATGGCTATTTGTATTTACAACAGGTATGTTAGGAAATTGTTTCTTAAATGGACCATTGAAATTGAATTTTGTTTTTATTTCAAATTGCCTTTAAAAACACTCCTGTCATATATTTACTGTATTTCTGAAAGGTTTTTAGCAAAATAGAAGTATTTTTTGCTTACTCATTTAACATCAGAGCCATATGTACAATTCTACTTTGATAAAACTAAGTAGTAGTTCTGAATATGTTCTTAGCAGTTACTCTTCAATTGCAATGCACAAACCTTAACTACCAAAGAGTCGGTGGTAATTTTTTGTTTGTTTATTTTGAGACAGGGTTTTTCTGTGTAGCCCTGGCTGTCCTGGAACTCACTCTGTAGATCAGGCTGGCCTAGAACTCAAGAGATATGCCTGCCCCTGACTCCTAAGTGGTGGGATTAAAATCACACACTACTTTACCACCAGTAAATCACCAGTAATTTATTAATTCTCACTGGAGGTTAAAAGATGTATCTAAAAACCATACATTTGAAAAATACAGCTTCGCTATTTTATCCATCTTCTATAGTACCTACCTTTTGGGATTCTTGCTATGAGATCGGGACCTAAAAAAAGAATATCTACTTTTAGAAAAGTGACTAAAATTTTTAAACTGGCACAATGTGCTTCTAAATGACATTTTTCTTAAGTTCTGACTTTATGTGTTACTTCTATAAAAACAAGGCATGTACCTGAATGAGAGCCTCCCCCAACAAAACAACAAAACTCTGAGAATTCCCTGCCTTGTCACAGGAAGTTCCTTCAACTGGTCACCTGGCTTAGAAAAGAATATACTTCTGGTGACTGAAATTGTGTGCTTATCATAAAAACTTAATTCTCTAAAACCTACCTCCCAAACTAAAACATTTTTTTTTTCTATAGCTTTTATACTGCTTTTCTCTTCTGGAAACAAAGAAAAATGTTTCAAGATATAAAATGCCCATTTTGAACCTACAACTTCACACTACAGTCCTAGAAAAATTTGTCAAGCTTACATCTTTGTCTACTTACACAAATTATATTCTTTATAAAATAATATAGAAAATTAGAATAAGAAAGTTAGTATTTCTAATTGTATGTGCGTGCGTGTGAACGTGGGTGTGCATGACTTAAAAAGTTAGAAGCATTGGCTCCCCTGAGACTAGAGTCACAAAGAACGACTACCTGTCCAATGTGGACGCTAGTAACTGGACTCAGGTCTTCTGGAAGTAGAGATACATCTTCTCAATCACTAAAACCATCTCTCCAGCCCCCAAAATGATTACATTCCTTCATTTTTCTTTTTTTAAAAAAATGTGTTTGAGTGTATGTTAACCGTTTTTTTGTTTTTTGTTTTTTAAAATGTGTGTCTGCCTGTATGTGTATCTCTGTGTTAACCATGTGCATGTGTGAGGTCAGTAGACACTGCTTTCCCCAGAACTAGAGTTATGAATGATTGTGAGCAACCATGTGAGTACTGCTCTTAAAAGTACTGGGCCATTTCTCCAACCTCCAAGTTTCTCAGCCCCAGATTATATTACTATACAGCACACTCTTTACATTTCCCAGTACAATGTCCGTACTCAATAAACAATCTCAATTCCATGATTAGTACAACATTGCAGTGTTTATTTTATGGTCTGAATGTATATATAACGTCAAGCATGTTTTAAAGTATGCTTTGGGCTATCTTAACTATGGTTCTATTCATTCACTGTCTGTGCAACCAGGGGAAAGCTATATATCCTACCTTAGTTTAATCTATCATCTGTAAAAGAGGAATAGCAATATAAAAGTGATTAAGTTTGAAATGTCCTCCAAAAGTTCATGTGCTGATGATCTGGTCCTCAGCTGGTATAATCATCCAGAGCTAATTGGATCATAAGTATTCTTACCTAATATTACCCTAATAGATAAATAATCTACTGACTATTTTTAAAATGTATGCACGTATATTTGCAAGCTTGTGGCTACTCATGCAGGCCAGGTGTTAAGAGTTGGGAGTTACAGGGAGTTACTGCTCAATGTGGCTCCTGGGAACTGAACTTAGGTCTCCTCAAAGAGCAGCAAATGTTCTTAGCAATTTCTCCAGCGTCTACTGACAGATTCTTAACTTGACAGTACTGTTGTTAGGTTACAGAAACCAGTAAGTTCGACCCAGTTCAAAGAAATAGGTTCCTTGAAGGGTGTATATTATCCCTGGACCTGACCTAAAAATG